CCACACTCCCCAACCCACACTCCCCAACCCACACTCCCCAACCCACACTCCCCAACCCACACTCCCCAACCCACACTCCCCAACCCACACTCCCCAACTCACACTCCCCAACCCACACCCACTCCCCAACCCACACTCCTCAACAATACACTCACACTCCCCAACCCACACTCCCCAACCCACACTCCCAACCCACACTCCCCAACCCACACTCCCAAACCCACTCTCCCCAACCTACACTCCCCAACCCACACTCCCCAACCCACGCTCCCCAACCCATGTGCAAGGACCAGGAATTCTGGAACCTGAGAAGCGAAACATAATAATATAAAATAAGTCTAAGACGCGAATAGTGGAAGCATCCCCAGATATTATATCACTCAGAGTTCGAAGCTCCCAAAGATAACAGACAAATTCTTCCTGACTGGATAACAGATTGTGAAGAAAGACGTAAGGAACAGAGGAGGTCGAGGAGAAGCACTGCTAATCATAAGCGCCAGAAAGGAAGCTGACGACTACATATGAGGCACACTGAAAACCGAAGATGCCAAGGTGGTGATAGGGGTGATGTACAACCATTCACTAAACAGAAAGAAACTAGCACATGAATTTAATGATGATACATAAGCAAGGAAAGATATTTTAGCTGATAAGATAAGATTTCGTTCGGATTTTTAACCCCGGAGGGTTAGCCACCCAGGATAACCCAAGAAAGGCAGTGCGTCATTGAGGACTGTCTGTCTTATTTACATTGGGGTCCTCAATCTTCTCCCCCAGGATGCGATCTACACCAGACGACTAACACCCAGGTACCTGTTTGCTGCTAGGTGACGAGGACAACAGGTGTAAGGAAACGCTTCAAAATTTTCCACCCCGCCGGGAATCGAACCCGGGACAGCCGCGTGTGAAGCGAGAGCTTTGCCAGCCAGGCCACGGGGCCCGGAAATGGAGAGAAGAGATGGACAGAAGAGCTTACTTGAGCAATGACGAGCTGCTGATCATGAGAAACTTTAACCACAAGAATATAAACTGAGAAAACTTAGGAGCCACACAGGGGAACAGAAACGTGGAGCTAAGATGCACTTATGTTTGGGACACTAGTACGCAGAGAGAGGATAGGAGGAACCAGCAGTGAATAATTCTGCCTAAGAGGAAAGAGGTGTAGTGGGAAAGACAATTAGAAGAGAAGACAGTTAATAATGTGATGGAGTATGTGACATGAAAGTGCGGAGAAGCAAAGGAAAAATCATAATCAGGAGCAAAAGAAGCAATGGAAAGAACAAATTGAGAAGAATAGCTAGAAATAAATATTCATAGGTAAGAATAGTGGGTTAACGATCACTAGAGAATAATAAAGCTTCGAAAATCAAATCTTGTCCAAATTAGTTATACAGCCACTTGAGAAGTTAGACAACAGTAAATTACCAAGTAATGATGATGAAGAAGAGGCACAAAGAATGACCTAGTAGTCCGTGAGGAACATAGCAAGATATTTAACCAAGTATTCTCAAAGAAAACTATGATTTCCAGCGAACCTGAGCAGCAGAATGCACTGTGGAGGACAGAAGGGTCAGGGGAGACATGATAACGACATACAAGATACTGCGGGGAATAGACAAGGTGGACAGAGATAGGATGTTCCAGAGAGGGGACACAGGGACAAGGGGTCACAACTGGAAGCTGAAGACTCAGACGAGTCACAGGGACGTTAGGAAGTATTTCTTCAGTCATAGAGTTGTCAGAGTTGCCTAGCAAGTGAAGTAGTGGAGGCAGGAACCATACATAGTTTTAAGAAGAGGTATGACAAAGCTCAGGAAGCAGAGAGAGAGAGGATCCAGTAGCGATCAGTGAAGAGGCGGGGCCAGGAGCTGAGTCTCGACCCCTGCAACCACAATTAGGTGAGTACAATTAGGTGAGTACAATTAGGTGAGTACACTCAGAAGAAGTGTTTCTTCTATTACTTTTACAAGAGAGGGTAGACTTAATATCATTGACAGGTAGGAGGAGTAAACGAGGAGGGTTTTTCCTGGGTACACTCTCACTTCCCACACGCACACCAGATAGCTAGGAATCTAGGAAGTAGGAATTATGGGTAGAAGGATAAACATAGAAGGAACTAAAGTGTAGGCAGCCACATGGGCATGGTCGGCACAAGCACTCTGAGCGCTCACTCACCCGCATAACGTGCACACACTTCCACATTCACACATAGACAGACATGGCAATTGACACCTTACTGTGACTATTATTATTATTATTATCAAAAAGAAGCGCTAAGCCACAAAGGCTATACAGCTTACTGTGACTAGACAGGGTGTGTTGTGGTGTTTCCACTCTCCCTCCCACTCTTTCTCCCTCTACTCTCCTTCCCACTCTTTCTCCACCCCCTCCATCGCCCTCCTTGTCTTCCTCCCTCAATTGCCCCATCTCTGTCCCCCTTACAACTTCCCCACCCCCACACATGAACACACTCCTTACACTTCCCTACTCTCTCTTCTCTCTCTCTCTCTCTCATCTCTCTCTCTCTCTCTCTCTCTCTCTCTATCAGTCTATCTGTCTATCCCTCTCTCTCCCTCTCTAACTATTTATCTCCCTTCTCCCCCCCCAATCCACTGGCTTTTCCTTCCCCTCTCCCTTCCCCTTCCCCTCTTCTCCCTCTAGCCCCCTTCCCACTCTTTCTCCACCCCATCATTCTCCCTGTCCCCCCTTCGTCTCCCTCTCCCCATCCCACATATGCATAGACACACCTAAAAACACCTAACCCCCCCCCAAAAAAAAAAAAATTGGTAGCTCAGAAAGGAAGATGAAGGCTCAAGGAATCAGAGGAAAATGATTCTGGTAAGGAAGAATGGATGGAAGAGCAATGTAAAAGGGTTAAACAAGAGTGGGAGAGCAAAATAGGTGAGCTTTCTTCAAAAATGGAGAAAAGGATGGAGGAATAGAAGAAGAAATAAGAGTCACAAGTCAAAGCCACAGAAGCCAGGAGAAGGGCCCTAGAATATGAGGTAAATAGGCTGAAGTGAGTTACAGGGCTATTACACAGAGGAGACATAGCATCTGAAGCAGGTACACTCCTACTGAAGGATAAGCGCAGTGGAAAGGAAGGAGACATACCTTACACAAAGGCCCTACCAGCCCACCAAGCAGGGCTGAGGAAGGAAATGGGAGAGCAGTTGGAAGCAGGGATAGTAGTAAGGGAGGGGAAAAAGGTGGAGAGGGGGATAGGTCACAGGTAGAGGCACGACCATGCCACCAAGAGCTACAGGAAAAAAATAAGGGAGACAATGGCTATGTACAAACAGGACCAAGAGACACAGAGGGAACAGCAATGGGAAGAGGAGAGGGGGAAGTCACTGTTTATTCATGAACTTCAGGAGAGCGAGGGGAGTACACACAATGAAAGATGGCAGAAGGAAAAGCAGGAGATTGTAAACATCTTCAAAGAAATAGGCGAGGAGGACATGACTGAAGTAGTTAATTTTCAGAGAATATGGGGGTACGTGAAGGGAAGACATCGGTTGGTGAAGCTGATTTTCAAGACTGAAACAATGTGGAACAGGATCCTTCAAGAGAAACCACGGCTGAGGGAACTGTCAGCATACATCCCGAGACAGAACAAAAACAGAATGACAGCAGCTGAGGGAGAGGGCACAGAAGCGAAAGGGGTTAGGAAGAGAGTCAAGGACAGACTCAGCAGAGGACAACCAGAGAAGGGCAGAGCAACAAGTGCATACTGAACCACCCCCAGAACACTACAACTAAACACACTATCCCAACACAAAGCACAATCCACACTTACATCCCTCACCTACACTACACTGTAGAATCACACTGCACACTGCCAGGTCCCCCATTCTCAGACCCCCAAATCACAGTGTAGGAGAGGAAACAGAAGGTATGGTACACCAATGCTGAAGGAATAACAAATAAGTTGGAGGAGTGGCATGAAAGAATCAAAGAGGCATCACAGTACATCATAGCTCTCACATGAATGATGACAGATGCCATCTTTCCAATGGGATATCAGATTCTGAGGCAACAGAGAGGGTATAGAGGGGGTGGAGGAGTGACACTGCTCATCAAAAACTGATGGGATTTTGATGGCCTGGAGAAAGGAGATGGAGGAGATGCAAGAGATTACATAATAGGAACGCTTCAGTCTGAGGGTCCCAAGATGGTAATTGAAGTGATGTATAACCCACCATAGAACAGCAGGAGGCAAAGGCAAGAGTATTATGAGAACAATGGAGCAATGGTTGACACACTTGCAGACATAGCCAGAAGGGATCCTACTAGCAGGACAAAGCTCCTGATTATGGGTGACTTCAACCACAGGGAAATCGACTGGGAGAACCTGGAGCCACATTGGGGCTCTGGTGGCCTGGTGGTTAACGCTCTCGCTTCACACGACGAGGGCCTGGGTTCGATTCCCAGCCAGAGTAGAAACATTGGACGTGTTTCTTTCCACCTGTTGTCTATGTTCCCCATCAGTAAAATGGGTACCTGGGTGTTAGTCGACTGGTGTGGGTTGCATCCTAGGACACTGACCTAATTTGCCCGAAATGCGGAGCATAACAAGGGACTTTCTATATAGTAGTATGTCATTGTTATCAGCTAGGACTGTATACCCTGTACATGTTCTTGTAGTAAAATAAAGATATTATTAACAAGGGGTCACAGTTGGAAATTTAAGACTCAGATGAATATCAGGGACGTTAGACTGTATTTCTCCAGTCGCAGAGTTGTCAAGAAGTGGAATAGTCTTGTAAGTGATGTAGTGGAGGTAGGATCCATACCTAGCTTTAAGAAGTGGTATGATAAAGCTCATGGAGCAGGAAGAGTGACCTAGTAGCGACCAGCGAAGAGGATGGACCAGGATCTGTGATTAGATCCCTGTAACTATATACAGACGAGCGCACAGACACACACACACACATGTGAATAAATATGTTTCTACTGATAGTGTAAGTTAAAAAAAAAAAATGCTTATAATACCATACCTTCAAGACATGATGACTGAACACGCTCGGTACCATTCACCATTCGGAACAACACTTGTGCCTGTTGGGACAGAGCCAGTTGTGTAATCATCATAGAAGACCGCAGCTCCTCTAATTCTGACACCTCCACCTTAGCCACACAACCTCCTATCAGCAGGTAAAATGTAATGGCTATTATTGCAGCCATTATGACAACTTGTGCATATAGTGAACCAACGTAGGAGAGACGTTCAGGATGTGGCGAGGAGTTATAAAATAACAGAGAATGGTAAATGAGTGACTGGCTGTAACCAAGTGAATGTGAGGGGAGACTTTATATAAGTGACATAAGTGGAAATCCCAGCAACAACTGAGTATTCACACGTACTTTAGAAGTGATATAAAATTACGATAGTACTTTAAAATTTCTTCGTTGATTTTCCGTTCACAGATTTCTTCAAAGTAATTATACAGTAGTGCTCCATTTGAAGGAGAAGAAGGTAATATCACTTCAACAATTTATTCTGAAGGATAATGAAAGAAGTAGCAACTGTTCGAGCCATCATCGGGATTCCCAGGGTGAGAGACGAGAGACTATCTTTGACACTCGAGATTCACAGGCTGAGTGATAAAAGATTATCACTGACACTCGAGAAGCCCACGCTGAGAAACGAGAGATTATCTCCATAACATACTGAAAGGCAATACCACATTTTGAAACACTACATGCACGCGAGCACGTACACACACACACACACACACACACACACAGGCCCAGACCCAGGAAGAAGATCAAATACAGCCTCCCTCACAACTTCCTATAGAAGCCTCCCAACCAGGTCAACCCCAGTGCAACCAAACACTCTAAATCAAAATACCCATGCCACATCCAATGCCCCCACCCACTACATTACAAACTCCACCCCCACAGCAACAACCCATAGTTCCTTACCAGGTCTCCCACTTCCCCAACCCCAATATACCTCCCAGACCACAGTCTTAGAAAAGAAGTTGAAGGTGTGGTATACAAATGCAGATGGAATAACAAACAAGTATGAGGAGTGGCACGAAAGAATCAAAGAGACATCCCCAGACATAATAGCACTCACAGAAACAAAACTCACCAGGAGGAGAGTGGTGGAGCACCTGGAAATAAACAAGTGTATAATTGACAACCAGCACGGTTTCAGGGAAGGAAAATCCTGTGTCACAAACCTACTAGAGTTTTATGACAAGGTGACAGAAGAAAGACAAGAGAGAGAGAGATGGATCGGCTGCACTTTTTTGGACTGCAAGAAGGCCTTCGACACAGTTCCTCACAAGACGTTACTGCAAAAGCTATAGGATGAAGGCACACATAACAGGAAAGGCACTGCAATGGATCAGAGAATATCTGACAGGGAGGCAACAACGAGTCATGGTACGCTACGAGGTGTCAGAGTGGGAGCCTGTGACAAGCGGGTTTCCACAGGGGTCAGTCCTAGGACCTGTGCTGTTCTTGGTATATGTGAACGACATAACGGAAGGGATAGACTCAGAAGTGTCCTTGTTTGCAGATGATGTGAAGTTAATGAGAAGAATCAAATCGGATGAGGATCAGGCAGGACTACAAAGAGACCTGGACAGGCTACAAGCCTGGTCCAGCAACTGGCTCCTTGAGGTTTTTAACCCCTGCCGAAATGCAAATTTCATGAAGATTGGAAATGGCAAAGAAGACCCGGACCAATATATTTAGATGGCCAAGAAACTTCAAACCTCACTCAAAGGAAAAAGATTCTGGGGTGGAGGTATAAAGCTATTCGAGCATAACTCCTGAGGCGCACATCAATCAGATAACAGCTGCAGCATACAGGCGCCTGGCAAAAAACCAACGGATAGCGTTCCGATACCCTCGTAAGGATTTCTTTCTGAGACGTCTGTATACCATTTACGTCAGGGCCCATACCTGAGTATGCAGCACCAGTGTTTGGAATCCACACCTATCAATCACGTCAAAAATAGAGAAAGTGCAAAGGTTTGCAACAAGAAGACTAGTCCCAAGCTACGGGGAGTGTCCTACGAAGAAAAGGTTGAGGGAAACCGGCCTGACGACACGGAGGACAGGAGGGTTAGGGGAGACATGATAACGACATATAATATACTGCTCAGAATAGACAAGGTGGCAAAGACGGGATTTCCAGAGAAGGGACACAGAAACAAAGGGTGGTCACAATTGGAAGTTGATGACTCAGATGAATCAAAGGGATATTATGAAGTATTTCTTGCAGTCATAGAGTTTATCAGGGGCCGTGGAATAGCCTAGAAAGTGACGTAGTGGGAAGCGGAACCATACATAGTTTTTAAGGCGAGTATGATCGAAGCCTCATGGGGCAGGGAGAAGAGAGTACTCTAGTACATCAGCGAGAGGCGGGGCCAGGAGCTAAGACTTCGAAACCTCGACCTCCTTCAACCTCAAACAGGTGAGTAACACACACATACACGCACACACACACACACACACACGCACACACACACACACACACACACACACACACACACACACACTCACAGCAACGCACCAGTCCACCTAACTCACACATACACACTGCATCGGTGGGAGTAACAGCATTCTCTGTGTTCACTGGTTTTGGGGTCTTTTTGGCCTATCCAAGGATATTGAAGGGATTATTTAAAGTGTTAGAGCTCAGTGAACAAGTCGGGAAGTAAAATACAAGCTGCCTAAACCAGAAAAAGGGAGGCTAGGGCTACAATTTACATAAATAATTCTGAAAGTGAAATCAGTGCCAGAATTGGGGAGAGAAGGCCTAGAGCCGGGCGTAGGCAGAGTTGCAACAAGCCAACACTACTGCAAATTCAAAATAATAATTGTGACCCAAGCCAGAGAGTTAATTAAGGCCAAGTCAAGGACAGATGAGATAATGCATGAAGTGAAGGGAAAGAAAAATGAAAATAAACTTGCAATTATTCTTAGGATGTTTGTGAAGGCTTACTCAACCCTGTAACAACTTCAGACAGTATTACTCAGGCTGGCTCCTCATCAGGAAAATTAATGAATAGAAAAAGAAATAATAATTCACAAAGATAAACACTTTATTATTTATTAAAGCAAACATAAAACAATAAAACATGAAAGGTATATCCTATTTGAAAGAAAAAAGAAAAATTAAATAAATAAAATAACATTTGAACTCAATGCTAATATATATAGGGGTGTCTGGTGTTGGTGACACTGAGTGTTGGTAAAATCGTAGCAGTTGCTAATGATGGGGAGGGTTCACAGGTGTTGGTTACAACCCACCCACATTGCCGTGACTTTTCTATCCCGATGACAGGAAAGCAGGTTCTTTACCACTGCAATTATGAGGGGTTACGTTCTGCAATTTCATACAGGTGCACAGATAATTAAATCCAAGCTTAGGTTTTTCGAAACTATGTCAGAGGTCTCCTCAAGTTTGGATTCAAGGCAAGGAGAAACTAGGTAAAAAGACGGGAAGCCTCAGCACTCCCCTCCTCATTAGTCCATAAGTCATGAAGGATGGACAGTGGACCTCTGGCCTGTCTACAATAGAGAAGTTCAAAAGATGAAAACCCCAAAGAGTCTACTTGGGAACTTCCTCATGGCATCAAAGCACAGGGTAGGTAACAGATGCACTCCTTAGTTGTAAAGGGAGCAAAGTTTCCTTAAAATGGAGCTTAGAATCGAATCTGGCGCTCAATCTCCCATACAGCAGGATGATAGGTGTGGTGAAGAGAGGCTTCACTCCCAAATTTGGTATAGACGTTGCATAAAGTCAGATGTGAATTGTGTCCCCACGGTCAAGACAAAATTTTCTCTAGGGATGCCCACTTCTGGAGAAGATGGACAAAAGGCTTCAGCCACCTCTTGTGTGGTTTATGGTCTTTAAAGATATTGCTTCAGGGGAAACATCGAAGCATAATCAACGAATGTTTAACATATATCTATGTCCCCCAGATGAACGGTGAGATAAAGGACCAACGATGTCAAATAGCTACTCTTGTCTCGAAAGTACCGTAAAGACTGGCATTTTGACGCGATAGGAACTTCGGCCTGTACCTCGGGAGGATGACAGTTTGCAAACTTTACACTTATCAACAATAGAAGTGACAGTCTGAGGACATTTTGGCTAAAAATAGGTTTCCCTTCCCTAATTTTATTAAGGTTTTTACGATGCGAGACAATGTCCCCCACCCGGGCCACTTGGCGGATCAGAGCCATTTATAAGCACCGTCTCTCTGCATTGACTTGGAACAACTAAGATGGAATAGTCAATCTCATCTGAAATTTAATTTGAATACTGACATTGTACCAGAAACCTTTTATGTTTTCAAATTAGATATGAAAAGTTTTTTCTGTTGTATAACTTAATTTTGTTTAGCGGCATTATGGAATTCTGAAAAGAAGGGCAATATTACGTTGTAAATTGAACAAGGAGTCCTTCTATATATCTAAAGACTAAAGTCCGGAAAACAAAGGAAGGATAGTAGAAAGAATCCTGTTCTTTGTGTCTGAGTCCCTAGTCAAGACATTTAAGTGTAGCGAGGTGATATCTCACTTTCATTTTCATCTAACAATGAACCGGTGATCCTAACAACCTCGCTTCGAGAGTAGCCATCACTGGTTTTAATCCCCACATGAATTCACGTCTCGCGAGACATTGTCACAACTGAACTTTCGAGGGATTCTCTGAAGAAGATCTGAAAAGCTTATGTCCACCTTTGGTGATGAAAGGTTCAATTCTCAGAAGGCAGATATGGCACCTTTTACATACCTATATTATAACTGAGCAAGAAGTGATGGGAGCAGTACGGCTTCGAGACCAACCTGTGAACCATTTTATGACCTAATGTAACAACTATGGTAGAGAAAAGTGTCCGTATTGCCCAAGTAGTCTGAAAGTATAGCAAGGAATGAAGTTCTTTTAATTTAGGGAACAGCTTATCATAATGACTAGACAGTGCATCAAGTGTCTCGTAAAATGGAGATACATTCAGTCCCATTAACTGTTCCAGAACATAAGGGTGCTTGGTCAGTACAGTCTTTAAATACAGCTTCCAACTTTTTGGACCTTCTTAGAAGGACAATCTGGACGTTTATGTCCTTAACATTTTTCCACACAAATGACAATCAGGAATAAAAGAAGTCATTTACTTTTACTAAGCTTTGATTTCTTAAGGTCTGATGAACCCTTGCCCTTAGGGTTCGATCCCTTTAGGTCTTTATAGGAATTTTGAGCCTCATCATACAGGTCAGCAGCCTCAGCAACTCCTCAGCTTTAAAATCAGGTGAATGTTCTCTAATGGAATTTTCGT